ACTCTGGAGAGGTCCCTGACAGCAGATTTTTCCAGTAAAATTAATCTTTTGATTTCCTGGCTTTTGATGCCAAGAGTGTTGATTGTAGAGATGAGCAAGCAGAAATGGTTAACAACCTTAATCCCTTCTCCATCTATTATGGTGCTGCCAACTGGCCCTGTGGTGAGAATCTTTTGCACAGTCTGTGAAACACAGATAGCTATCCCTTTGGTACATTTTGCTTTCTGCTAAGATGCATCTGACATTGGCGATAATGTCTCTAGTGCCACAAATTCTTCTAAACCCAGTTTGTATTTCTGGCAGTTCTCTGTCAATGTACTGTTTCAGTCATTTCTGGATAATCTTAGCAAGATTTTGCTTGTATGTGATATGAGTGATATTGTATGATAATTTCCACACTCTGTTGGGTCACCTTTTTTTTTTTTTTGATAGGTATAAATATGGATCTCTTCCAGTCAGTTGGCAGGTAGTTGTTCTCCAGATTTCTTCACAGAACTTGGTGAGTACATCCAGGCAGCTGTTTGTTGAAAAATATTAATTGGTATTCCATCAATTCGTGGGCCTTATTTTTTTGCCAAGTCCTTCAGAGCAGTCTGCACTTCCTCCTCCATTACCATTGCCTCTTGATTATATTCTGTTTCTTGAAATTCTTCTGTGCCAGCCAATTCTTTTTGGTATGGTAACTCTGTATACTCTTTCATTGTACTTTAATGCTTCCTAGATCATTCAATATTCTGCCTGTAGAATCCTTAAGTATTGCAACCTTAGGCTTGAATTTTTCTTTAGTTTCTTCAGCGTAAGAAATACTGAGAAAAAGAAGGAAAGAATGCTGAGCAAAAAAAATAAAAAAGAAATGCTGAGCAAGTTTGGCCCTTTTGATTTTCCAACTCCAGTTCTTTGCACATTTTATTATAATACTTTACTTTGTTTTCCTGTACTGTCCTTTAAAATATACATATATATATATCTCATATAAGTATATATACAATTTTTATTTTATACTGGTTTATATTGGTCTACTTATAAAGTTCATAAGCATTGTTCTTCACACTGGATCTTTCCCATTTCCTTTACCCACCTCTCCACACTGCCCTTTGAAATCTTCTATTCAGCTCCTTAACTTCTTTATTTTTTCTCTTTGCTTTGACTCTTCAGTGCTCTAATTTAATATTGAGAGTCTCTTCTGACAACCATCTTGATCTTTTTTTTTTTTCTTTATTTGTCTTTGTAATGACATTTTGTGTTCTTCATGGGTGATATTCTTGATATCCTTCCATAGCTCATCTGGTCTTTGTTCATTAGTGTTCAAGGCCCCAAACCTATTCCTGAGTTGATTTTTAAATTTAAGTGGGATAGACTCAAGGTCAAATTTTAATTCCTGTGGATTTGATTTTACCTTCTTTAGCTTTAGTTTGAACTTCATATGAGTTGTTGACAGTTTGTTCCACAATTAGTAGCTGGCCTAGTTTTTACTGCTGATATTGAACCTCTTTCCAATGATTCTTTCCACAAATGTAATTGATCTGATTTCTGTGCATACCATCAGGTTAAATCCTTGTATATAGTCTGCATTTCTGTTTCTTATAAAAGGTGTTTGCAATTAATAAATCATTGATTCTACAGAATTCTATCATTCTATCCCCAGCTTAATTTCTGTCACCAAGTCGATGTTTTCCGACTACTGATCCTTCTATCCTGTTCCCAACTTTTGCATTCCAGTCACCCATTATTATTAATGATCATGGTTGCATGTTTGATCAATTTCTGACTAAAAAGGTTGATAGAAATAATCTATTTCCTCCTCTTTGACTCTCTATATTTTAATAATAGTTATATTCACCAGACTTCCTTGTATGGCTATGGATATAATCCTTTCAAAATGACCTTTTTAACCATGACAGTAATCCCACTTTTCCTCACATTTTCATCTCCAGCATAGTAGATTATAAGATTGTCTGATTCAAATGTCTCATGCCAATTTCATGAATACATAATACGTCAGTATTTATACATTCCATTTCTTTCTTGAAAGTTTCCTATATTCATGCTCCTCGTGTTCTATATATTCCAGTCATTAGTGTCTGCTTACAACTCTTCCTCCTCCTTTGTGTTTCCAAATTTGAGGGCTCAGCCTCAGGATCCATATCTGCTAGTCTGCTCTAAGTGTACTCTGCTGTACACAAGGTTTTTGAAGGCCCGTTATATTTTGGAAGTGGATGGCCAATTCTTCTTCCTACACTGTCTTAATTTGGATGCTCAGCTTCTGAACAATATTTGACAGAAAAGCATTTTACTGAAAGGAGCAGATGAAAGACACTTCTCCCTTACAGAACTAACTAATGGATTCAGTGTGGTGCCCCCACCTCCCACATGTGCCTTGTACCTTCCTTTTCTCTGCTCCATCAGCATCCCCTTGCATTCTTGCGTACTCTGTCCAGACCCTTGATATGATGTCTCAGGCCACAGATAAATTTTGTGATGCCGTGTGCCTTGCACTGCTGCTGCCCTGTCATGCTGCTGCTGGTCTTTCACACTGTTGCCTGTTTCAAGTTTAGGAAGATTTAAATCCAAATCTCCTGGAGCATCTTTAGGGAAGGATTTTTGTCTGAGGCAGTTCAAAACTGTTTTCCCAGTGCTACCTCAGACAAAAATCCTTCAATGAGGTGGATTGACACAGTGACTGCAATAGTGGAGTCCAGCATGTCAGATATTGTGAGATCAGTACAACAATTACCACCTTGAAAGCCCATACTTGTGTGAGTTTTTTTACATTCTTTTTTTTATACATTCAACTATAAGCTATCAGGAGTCAAGCAATCTGGCCGGTTTTGAGCAAAGTTTATCAATTTGTTATAGTGTGGAACCTGCCTACTTGGGGGAGATAGAAAGCTTTTAAAGGGGCCCAGGGTCTGATAAACCTTGCCTGGCCAGGATTCAGTAGTGGAGGAGCTGAGTTATAAACGAAAACTAACCAAAACCTCTTTATTCAGTCACTGAAGAGAAAATTGTGGACAGTTATGATGATCTAACAGAAGTCTAGCCTGGCTTTAGAATGAACTGACTGGATAACAAGAGAGAAGTCGCAGGACCATAGCTGCTTTTCTGCACTCACTCCAGTGTGGTTGTTTCTCAGCTCACTCTCAGTCACTTATTGCTGTAAAATTGAGACTGACTCATAGCTGGTTTTCAGAGGCTGTCAATTACATGGAAGGAGACTGTCCACTTTTCTCTCATGGAGCAGCTAGTAGATTAAAAGCACCTGTATTTGTACTGGCAACACAGCTCTTTATACTCACTTGACCACCAGAGTTCCCTATAACTGACGTTTAAAAACTGGAATTATGCAGTGATCACATTCCTTCATTGTGATTCCAGGATCATAGGTATAATTGTGATCATCATTTGATGTTTCCAGTCTGTGTTAAAGAATGTTTTTGTTGTTATCATGTGCCATCGAGTCGCCTGTGACTCGTAACGACCCTATGTTAGAGCCCTAAATGCTGCTCTATCCGGGGCCAATCTTATTGTCTCCAACACACCTATCCCCATTACCCCAGTGACTAAATCAATCCATCTCACTGAGTGCTTTCCTCTCCTGTGCTTTTTCTCTACCCTCCCAAGCATGACATCCCTCTCCAAGGACTGATCCCACCTTGCGACATGTCCAAAGTATGTCAGACAAAGCTTCAGAATCCTTGCCTCCAAGCAGTCGCCTGGCTTCACCCTCTCCAGGATGAATTTGTCTGTTCTCTTAGCAGTCCACGGTTCTCTTAGCAATACCCTTCTCCAGCACCACAGCTCAAAGGCATCAATTCTCCGCCTATTATCCCTAATCATTGTCCAGTTTCAGATGCATTGCAAGTAATTGCAAAGATCATGGCCTTGATCAGGCACACCTTAGTCTCCAGACTGACATTATTGCTCTTCAGCACTTTCGAGAGATCTCTGACAGCAGACTTTCCCAGTGCAATTAATCTTTTAATTTCCTGGCTGCTGGTACCAAGAGTGTTGACTGTAGAGCCAAGTAAACTGAAGCTGTTAACAATCTCAATCTCTTCACCATCCATCATGATGCTGCCAATTGGCCCAGTGGTGAAAATCTTTGTCTTCTTGATGTTGAGCTTCAATCCATACTGAAGGCTGCACTCCTTGACCTTCTGGAGCAAGCACTTCAGTTCCTCCTCAGTTTCAGCAAGCAGGGTTGAGTCATCTGCATAACACAGATTGTTGATAAGTCTACCTCCAATCTTGATGCCACATTTTTCCTCATAGAGCCTAGCTTCCCGGATAATCTCTTCTGCATATAGATTGAAAAGACATGGAGATAGGAACCATGCAGTGCTTCCTTGCTCTGTTCTGATGACTGCCTCCTGGTCCAAGTAGAGTACCAAGAAACTGCATTGCAATCTTGAAGGCACACAGTTTGAGGCCACCAGCTGTTCCATGGGAGGAGGATGAGCAATATCCTCCCATGTGTTTAACTGCCTCTGTAAATCCTCCAGAAGGCCATCTATGAGTTGGTTCTGACTCTACAGAACGCAACAAGAATGTTAAAGAATGCACCAATTAAATTACTCTTGCCTTGGATAGCTTGGCAGTGCATACCAGAGAAGCACTTATATAGAGTGGTTAGTCACTCGTGAAATCAGATGCATAACATTTGAATTGGACCTCAAGGTCTTAACTGATTATGGGACTATATACATATGTAGACATCATGATTATTCCACTTCTAATTACAAAATAATATAGGAACTTTCTGACTTTATTTACCTGCATCCAAAACCCTATGTAAAATAACTCACACCTCAGAAGTGCTGTTGTTTTCATGGGTAATGAGCAAGATCTTTGTGTTGAAAGGTCAGAACGGGGGAAATTCATGAAGGACATGCAAGATGAGTCAGTGTGGAGCTGTGCCTTTGAATCTGTTGTGGGTGACAGTCCTACATATGCCAAGTATTTCCACTTAGAAAGTCTGAACACTAGTGTCAAATACCTACTGTGTTCTTATAGAAGAAATAAAGCACCATGTTGGCAAGTCGAGAATAGCACCAATGTCCATGGACAATTAACAGTCTCTCCAGGTACCGGAATCTTGGCACTGCGAAGTCACTGGCCATCACCACCTTGAAAGGGAGAGGGACTCACATTATTTGAGAGATTTCCACTTGTATCATGTATGCCACTGCTTTCCAAGATACAAGCCAATAAAATAAAACTCAGATTTTGAATACTAGGTAGATGTAACTGGACTGGATTTCTCTACTATGGACTCCTCGTTATCTCCTAAATGCCAAAATGTAGTCTCATAGGGTGATCAGAAAATATTGATTGAGGGATTGACTCAGTAACCATTTACTGAACACTTAACATGTGGAAAAAATTCTATTCCAATAATCACTCATTCTCACGGCCATCGAGTCAGGGCCTTCTCAGACACCCTCCATCAGGTTTCCAGTGCTGAAAATAAGAATAATAGAAGATCATCCATCTGATTCAAACCACCAAAGCCTCACATCCTTTGGGTTGGCAGTGCAACTTACTATGGACTAGCCCACCAGATTTCCCTATGAGCATTCTAAATGAGGAATCTTACTTTATAGGAATCAACTAATGCTTCAGATATATGCAGTTGATGGATTTTTAAGATTTTCTTTCTTCTTTTATACCCTTTATTAGCAAGTTAAAACTTACTGAGACAGATAAAGTTTTAAATCTAAACCTGACTATGATCTTAACCCACAGGAAACATAACCATCCCTTAACATGTGCAGGTAGAGATGTGGACCATCTTATTAGGTTGTTGTTGTTGTTGTTATGTGCCGTCGAGTCGTTTGCGACTAATAGCGACCCTATGTACAACAGCCCTAAACCCTGCTCTATCCTGTGCCAATCTCATTGCCTCCGACATACCCATCCCGATTACCCCAGTC